TAGTGGCCCTGAAAAGTGTTAATTATCAGATCAAATAGTATTGACATAGGAAAATAAAACAGACATAATGAGAGACACATTCACAGAGAGAGATAACATATCACAGAGCTCCACAGTAATGTGTGGTATGAGTATCACAGAGCTCCAGAGTAATGTGTGGTATGAGTGTATCACAGAGCTCCATAGTAATGTGTGGTATGAGTGTATCACAGAGCTCCATTGTAATGTATGGTGTGAGTGTATCACAGAGCTCCATAGTAATGTGTTGGTATGAGTATCACAGAGCTCCATAGTAATGTGTGGTGTGAGTGTATCACTGAGCTCCATAGCAATGTGTGGTATAAGTGTATCACAGAGCTCCATAGTAATGTGTGGTATGAGTATCACAGAGCTCCATAGCAATGTGTTGTATGAGTGTATCACATAGCTCCATAGTAATGTGTGGTATGAGTATCACAGAGCTCCATAGCAATGTGTGGTGTGAGTGTATCACTGAGCTCCATAGCAATGTGTGGTATAAGTGTATCACAGAGCTCCATAGTAATGTGTGGTATGAGTATCACAGAGCTCCATAGTAATGTGTTGTATGAGTGTATCACAGAGCTCCATAGTAATGTGTGGTATGAGTATCACAGAGCTCCATAGTAATGTGTGGTATGAGTGTATCCCAGAGCTCCATAGTAATGTGTGGTATGAGTGTATCACAGAGCTCCATAGCAATGTGTGGTATGAGTGTATCACAGAGCTCCATAGTAATGTGTGGTATGAGTATCACAGAGCTCCATAGTAATGTGTGGGATGAGTGTATCACAGAGCTCCATAGTAATGTGTGGTATGAGTGTATCACAGAGCTCCATAGTAATGTGTGGGATGAGTGTATCACAGAGCTCCATAGTAATGTGTGGTATGAGTGTATCACAGAGCTCCATAGTAATGTGTGGTATGAGTGTATCACAGAGCTCCATAGTAATGTGTGGTGAGTGTAACACAGAGCTCCATAGTAATGTGTGATGTGAGTGTATCACAGAGCTCCATAGTAATGTGTGGTATGAGTATCACAGAGCTCCATAGTAATGTGTGGTGTGAGTGTATCACAGAGCTCCATAGCAATGTGTGGTATGAGTGTATCACAGAGCTCCATAGTAATGTGTGGTATGAGTGTATCACAGAGCTCCATAGTAATGTGTGGTGAGTGTAACACAGAGCTCCATAGTAATGTGTGATGTGAGTGTATCACAGAGCTCCATAGTAATGTGTGGTATGAGTATCACAGAGCTCCATAGTAATGTGTGGTGTGAGTGTATCACAGAGCTCCATAGCAATGTGTGGTATGAGTGTATCACAGAGCTCCATAGTAATGTGTGGTATGAGTATCACAGAGCTCCATAGTAATGTGTGGCGTGAGTGTATCACAGAGCTCCATAGTAATGTGTGGTATGAGTATCACAGAGCTCCATAGTAATGTGTGGTGTGAGTGTATCACAGAGCTCCATTGTAATGTGTGGTGTGAGTGTATACCAGAGCTCCTTAGCAATAAAACACAGTAATGTGCAGTGTTTGGGTGTATCACAGAGCTCCAAAACTATAAAACTCCTAACAGTTAACTATTACATGGGTTACATATTAAGCTTGATACAGTGCCCAGCTGACAACGATTTCCAAATATTTCCAGGTAACTGAATTGCTGGATCAATGCCGTTTGGACTAACTGAAAATGGGAAATAAGGTTACGATGGGCGATTGACTTTACCAGATGTTTTTATGGAATCAGTTTGTGGTGCGGCCAGCGTGGGCTGGGCAGCCTGCTTGCACTCTGAGTACGTTTTTGGTGTCCATGTTATTGGGCTATGGTTAGGATGTGCCTCAATGTCAGGATGTTGCGTGGCTAAGGGCCACGCTTCCATTAGATTACAGCTCTCGACAATCGTGTAAATGATCCCAAACTCTCACAGAAAGTCACCAAGTGTTGACAAGTTAAAGAGAACGTTTTCTCGGACGTGAATCAACATCTGATTTATCATTAAGGTGTTTGTTCTGACCTTGGCTCAGAATGCCCCCGGGGAACCCTTGCCGGCCGACTTCTCTAATTGTTGAACTTCACTAATTAATGAGTGAGCTGTTGGGTTGTGAGAGGAGAGGGTCAGGAGCATAATTACGTATGTCATCAGCGTCCTGTGATCAAAACTGACCCCTCCGTATCCCTATTCCCACCGTGCACCCTTAATGTGCGCATTATCTATCAACACCAAGGCCAAGCGCTCTTGCAGCTAAGTCAAAATATCCGACAACATGTGTCATAAAGTGTCAGCTGCCGGGGAATGAGGCCCAGCTGTCGGGAGGCAGCTCGCAGCTTGCACAGCGTGGGGCCAGACTGAGAAATGGTTAATGTTATTCTCATCTGATTATATAGTCTCCAAAAACTTCAACTAATAGTGATCCGGTAGAAACATTTAAATACGTAAAGGGAATCAACACAGTAAAGGAGGAGACTATATTTAAAAGAAGAAAAACTACCACAAGAGGACATAGTCTTAAATTAGGGGGACAAAGGTTTAAAAATAATATCAGGACGTATTACTTTACTGAGAGGGTAGTGGATGCATGGAATAGCCTTCCAGCTGAAGTGGTAGAGGTTAGCACAGTAAAGGAGTTTAAGCATGCGTGGGATAGGCTTAAGGCTATCCTAACTATAAGGCCAGGGACTAATGAAAGTATTTAGAAAATTGGGCAGACTAGATGGGCCGAATGGTTCTTATCTGCCGTCACATTCTATGTTTCTATTGTGGTATAATCCACCTGGGCCACCAAGAAATGGATCTGAATTAAAGGTTTTTACTGGGTCAGAAGAAAAACAGGACAAATTGAAAAATGTTTAGAAAACGCTAGCTCCGATATTTTGTCAAACTTTATAGATCCATTTTAGCAGCCAGTTAGAGGCAGGATGGAGGGAGCACTCACAGCGAGCTGAGTATACTATATGAATAGAATACCTTGTATAGGACAGATTATCGGTACAGCTGTATAAATTGTATGTCATGTGCTCCATTCCCATATCTACAATACAGGCCAGCAATGCCCTACGTAGGATTCCTTACTGATACCCATACCCAGGGGATTTGTATGTATCCATTTGTATCACTTCTCCTAGTAATATTTTACATGACTGGTGCATAGTCGCCATATGGGCAGGAGGAATCAGGACAAACCCCCCCACATACCGAACCCAATAAAACACACACTAGGGTATATGGGTCGAAATTGTCCACAGCTTTTATTAATAATAGTATTGGTACTAAATTAACATTGAAAAAGGTCATTGCCCCACACCCTGCCATACCACATCCGTATCCCCACAGTTCGATATAAAAGGCAATGACCCATATATAAACACATAATATATAACAGTATTTCAACATGAACATAACTTAAAGTGGCAACATTTTTAATTAACCATGGTAGGGGTATACCTGGATACCCCAACCCCACCAGGTTCTGAGCCACCGACAAGCTCGAAACCTACCAAACTTACCAAGAACCATATTAACCATTTCCATAACCATCCTAATGGGGAGCCTATTTCCTATCCTTCAGCTCCCCATCCTGCTGCTGTGACAAAACGGGACAACCCAACGGTAACCAGAACCCAGGAAGGGAGGGTGGGACAAACTCAGCCAGGTAAGTAAGTTAAAAATGACTCTTCCAAGATGGCTGCCTATTTATATAACCCTCTAACGACCAATCCCTACATAGCTTTCTCCTATGCCCGCCTCCTAGCTCTGTCAAGGTCCCTTTCAACTAAGCTCCGCTTTTGTTACATGGGGCTACAATCTATGCTGATTGCTAGACTCTCTCTGACATATTGCATATAAAATGTAGATATACTTCCAATATTACTGGAATGGATGTATGAGTTGTGCTAATTTACATATATTATTATTATTATTATTATTAATATTATTATTATTATTGTTATTTATTTACCTATGTCTAAAAAGCATTGGTAAAAGCTGGTAGTTCTTATGAAGGAGTTTTTGTTAAGTTTTCTGAGCTACGCAGTGCAGTGCTTAGCACATTGGCTGAGAGCTGTCAGCTTAGGAAAGTCCAGTTCAGTGGCAGGAGCAGTACCTGTCAGACCCCAAGTAAGAAAAACGGTCTGACTCCTTCTAAAAAGGGGGGGGACTAGGGCACTCCTGGCATCATAACTAATACCACAAGTTGCAGTGGTTATGGTGCTTTTCTTTTAACACCCACCCGATAACCAGTGAACTGTGGTCGCATTTCTATTCAAATTGCCATTAAAAATGCTGTCCCATTAATGATTCGATATAAAGTACTAGTGTGGTCAGAGTAAGAGCGTCAGGAGAGACCTCAGCTCCCGCATTGAATTCTCAGGACGTCTTGTTTAAAGGGGCAGCATGTAGCAATCTAGCTAATAAACACTAATATTAGAACAATAAATATCCACGAGAAATTAGCGCTCTGCGTCTACTGCGTGCTGTTATTTTCTTAACCCATTCACTACTGAGCACTTTTTGATTGATAAAAAAATATATAATTTAACATTTATCTGAAGCAAAGAATGCATGGCTAGCGTATACACAAATCATAAGAGCAGTTTGTGTATAGATTGCTTTACAAACAAACTTAAACATTTACACCATTTTTAACCACTTATTAGTTCCTTCTTCATAAAGATATTTGGGAAGTGATCAGCTATAGACAGTACACTGGGTCACAGGGTGTGAAATGTTAGTATGAACGAAAAGTAGGGATGTGCATGGCCCAAAGATTTGGTTCGGCATTCCGAAATTCGGCACTTCAGCAATTCGGGACTTCGGCAATTCTGCAATTCGGTTCGGCAATTCCGAAATTCGGGACTTTGGCTATTCGGCATGGTTCGGCACTTCCGAAATTCGGGACTTCGGGATAGGGTTAGGGTTGGTTAGGAGTCGGGTTAGGGTTCCGTTGGGTTAGGGTTGGGTTAAGAGTAGGGTTAGGTTTGGGTTAGGATTAGGAGTAGGGTTAGGGCTGGGTTAGGAGTAGGGTTAGGAGTAGGGTTGGGTTAGGGTTAGGAGTAGGGTTAAAGTTGGCTAACCCTACTCTTAACCCAACCCTAACCCTACTCCTTACCCAACCATACCCTACCCTAGCCCAACCCTTTCCCTACTCCTAACCCTACTGCTAACCTAACCCTAACACTACTCCTAACCTTTTCCTTAGCCCTACCTCAACCCCTATCCCTACTCCAACCCCAATACTACCCCTACGCATTTTGTCACTTTTTAGAAGTTCAAAGCACTTTGGCACTTCTGCAATTCGTTTTGGTTTGGACTTCCAAACGTCAGCACTTCGGAAATTTTGCACTTTGGCCATTTGGCCATTCGGAAGCATCCGAACCGAATTGCACATGTCTAACGCAAAGTGCTATTTTTTCCATACAGGAGATAGGAGTGACGAAAATAGATGACTAGGAATGTGCAAGGACCCTGCTGGTACTATTTATTTATAAAATATTTTACCAGGAAGGATACTTTGAGATTTTTCTCGTTTTCAAGTATGTCCTGGGTTCACAACACGATGTGCATGGTGAAAATGTAGTTTCAGATCTATTCATTATTTATTAAATTTCGGTTTGTGCAAAATTCAGAAAATCTCAATTCAGACAAAACGAATTAGGTTTGGAAATGTATTAATTTTCTAATTTCAGTTTGGAAATTTTTTAATTTTGGAAGCCATGTTTAAATAGTTTCCACATCTGACAACTTTAACATGATTTAAAAAAAAAACAACAACAACATATAAATAGATATTACAATCTCACATCAGATAGATATCAGCATGCTAATGGCTCCTCGTATTTACTGGTTTATTAAATACCACTTGTTAGCATTATCACTGCACTTGGCTGTCTGAAACATTTAACCTGTGATGTCATCGAAAACACTGACAGAATCGTTAACAATGACATCATGGTTTAGGCCGGGTTTTAAACCCTCCGTGGTGTTACTAGAAGAAAATACATTTGTGAAGTTTGAATTGTGCTGTGTTATTAATCGGTTATTGTTAAGACACCCCTGGTGTCTTTAAGGGAAACCGCCGTTTAGTTAACCTTCCCCTTTCGCAATATCAATAACTCCGTTCGCATAGACTGCAGTATACAAACCACCATTAGGGGAAGCGGTAATCTCCCGACCGGGATCCGTGAAAGGCTCCAAACTCCCGAACAGAAATCCACGAACCGCCGCTAATCGCCGAATAAAGATATCCACCAAGCGGCTTTCGGTTCCAATAATCAGTCTCTAGGCATCAATAGTAAATCCCCCCAATAACGAGACAGAAGCTCCGCATTGAGGGTCAAACAGGATCTGGCTTTACTGTGGGCTACCCGCCCGTATTTATGCAGGTCTCCCACTTGGTGGATACTCCCCTACGGGACCAAATGGGAGACTGGAATTACAGATGGACATGAGGACATAACAGACATACAGTCACAAGCTTTTCCCACAATGCAATATGGTTTCCTCCCCTCTGCCCTGGAGATAATTGAGAAGTAATTCAATTATCTCCAGGACAAAGACAAATCGCCATCTTAAATAAAATACCAGAAATACATAAAAATATATAACTTCACAACTACCGAACATTTCACATTCGTATCACACACTTGCAGCAATGTTACTGCAGAACACAGCACTTCCTAGTAAACCGTTACGGAAATTCTGTACCTTTACGATTAATTCAGCGCAGTTAATGCCACTATACCCTGAAGAAATGTAGCAATTTGAAAGTTTGTCTTGTGCCACACAGACTTAGACTGAATGCTACACTATGTGCTGGTAGTATTGGTTGGAGTACTAGTCTTTGGGGTGTGTGATGTCCTGTATGATGGGGTCAGTCTTAGTCTGGGATCTTTGGACGCTGTGGTGACCCAATTGGTCGACTCACCTACCTGGATCTGTGATTTCTGGATCCGTACTCAGCACCGCATCCTGCCATTCCCCAATCACCTCCCTTTTTATCTGGTCTTTTCTGTTCTTTCCATGTACAGAAACCATTTTATTGAGTAGAAATGGCGAATGGCCGGAGCCACGGTGTGTTCACAAGCGAGCCCAAGGACGTAAACATTGGTACGAACAATCAAGAACCTTACACGTCTTATTTAATATTTATATCATTGATTCCATATGACGTGTATTCCTATATACTGTGCTCGGATCTTGTGTAATTTAATTGTCAGCTTGTCCTATTGCTGATAAAAATACTACCACTGCCGGACTGGACGAACACTTTTATTCACTTGTCTTTCGAAATCAATGAATTTGCCTAAGCACGTGCCAATCCAGAGGTAGATTGGTTAATATTCCGTGTTTGATAAATTAGTGAATATTATATATTTTGAGGCATTCAGACTTTGCTCCAAATGGAATCAGCACATTTAGTGCATTTAGTAATGTTACTGATTGCATGAATTTCAATTTCAGGTTAAATTTGGGGATTTTCGCAGAATTTTGCAATTTGCAGTCAAATTGAGATCATAAATAAATAAATCTGCGAGTGTTGGAGAAATCGAACTTCTCGTTTTACAGTTTCCAGGAGTTACAGCGCATATACTGCCATGAATATGCGTTCTATAGGTTACAAAGATTTACTGCCGCTTTAAACAGGCTCTCGTATAACGTCCGTCACATTGACACCCGCTGGAGGGAGCACATCACACAGCATTTATCACATTAATGTCAGGAGAGGACAGGGCTGACATTTATGAGTTTAGATAATGCTAAGTATGTTTTGGTAAAAAGCTGCAGTCTATAAATCTGTCTCCAGGCCCTCTTCATTCTCTGTGCCGGGCCCATACCATACACTGAGCGTTAGATGCCTGCGATTCTTCCCCTATCTGAATAAAATCACACAAACCAGCCCTGCACTCAAACTCCCACTACTCGAGTGTGGTTATCTATTGTACAGTGCTACAGAATTTGCTGGCGCTATATAAATAATGAAATAATAATGGCTGTCATATTTATCAACCTGAATATATAAACAAAGCGGAAGTTACTTCTGCGATAACCCAAGTCCTACACACATTTAAATAACAGAAGTTTTCGTACTACTGCACTGGCTATTAAAGTGTAAGCTCCCCTGCCAATGCCAAGTCCTACACAACAATTTACATTCCTACTTCCAGCTAAAATCTGCCGTTAGTAATCTGAGCATTTTACCACTCAGTTTATCTGGGAAACTGTGCTAAACTCTAAATTGGGACAAACTGAAATCTACATAGCAAAACGTAGCCAAAAATAACTCAGTTGGATGACTCTCCGGCCCTGGTATAGTCACAGATTGAATATTTTAGTCTTAAATTTGCACTTTAGGCTTCAGTTTGTTACGATTTGGGGTTTATTGATGAATTACTATTAAGTAACTATTAAGTAAAGCATATTTATCAATCACAGACAGAAAAGATGAATTTAGTAACTAGAAGTATATCCAGGTCTGCTCTGAGTGCGTTACAGGGTTATTCACCATAAAGAGGAATCAAGGTGGATTTTAAATTTAAGGTTAAAATAGCCTCTGTTTGGCTTCTCTGGCCTTAAATCTGAAATTCTCTTTATATTCACGTTGAATT